GAAAATATTCTACCGGTGATTTTTTATATGAAATAATACGACATTTTTTTCTGAACGCACCTGCTTTTTCAATTAAATTGGAATCTAAATTATATATTTTTGAAATGACTAATCAAGACCTTTAATTTTATCCCCATATTTTTGTAATAGAGGAATTAAATTTGAAAAAATGTTTTAAATGACGTCATACATCAGTCATATTGGATATTAAAAATATATGTTCCTATTATATAGCAAGTTTTACTAGGGATGATGTAAGTTTCCTAAAAATACCCTGTATATTTAAATCCGTTTAAATATAAATACATAAACCTTAAATACAAAACACTCATTTCTTGGGCAGTCGTGTAACTATATAGGCACACAAAGGTAAGAAATTGTTCACACGAAAATCACACTTGCCGCGTGTTTTTAAATTCACGTGGCGTTTAAGACTAATATACGAATCTGTATATTTTCAAACGTTTGCCAAGGGTTTCGAGGTGCAATGTCAGCAAGAGATTTAGGTAAATTGACATAGGCGCGGGTTTTATTGTACTTTATGGAGGGACCACCACCCTCATGTTTGAGTATAAGAATATGGAAGCAAAATTGAAATCCCCTTGTCTGATTGTATATTTTACAATAAATAAACAAGTATCGCTTCTTTAATGTTTCATTTAAAATATTTTCTGTGTGTTATCATTTTACATATTTTTGTTGTAACATTATTTGAATGTATATTAATAAAATGTAAATGAGGATTCTGTGGCGTAGTGATAAGCGCGTTCTGAGGAAGTTAAGCCACCTTTTCATAGGCCAGTCATAAGATGGGTGATCAAAAATTTTATATGTCGAGCTCTTCGGAAGGCATCTTGAGCAGTTGTTAGTACCGACTGCATCTGCAGTGGTGGTGAGCACGCGTGATGAGACATGACCATTTCGCCATATTCGATGCTTTCTAACTAAATAAAATTACAAACTTTTGAGTGTCCTCTACCCGAGCACCGGGGACATTAATAACCTAGATCAGCCTTACCCAAAGTGACGATAACGCCCCCTTGTGGGCGCGGCAGGGGCCTAAAAGGGGGCAGTTCGAGACCGAAAAAAAATTAGGCGTTGTGTAGAGGCTTATAGGGTGAGTGATTTCAGTTCTTTCTTTCAAAAGTATTGATGTATAATCTCTAATAATAGCTTACAATAATGAATTAATTTAATTTTAAATTATGGTGGTTTTTTTAAAATAAAAATGATATATTCTCAAAGTGGGGAGTAGACAAAATAAGTTTGGGAACCCCTACAGCAAGTGATCCCGTTCAGATCGTAGAAGTCGAAAGAATTACCATTACCACTTCAGTAAAAACTTAAAACGTAAGTCAAAATAATTGTATATGGTGCATTTGTGACGTGTATAATTTCAACCCAATTTACCAAGTGCGACTATGCTATGTATCATTGTTTTACTTAAAGAGTTACTCAAGTCTCAGGTTCAAGTATTTCATGATCATATTATGTGTAAATAGTGTAAATGCATAATACGTTAGAAAGTTTGTTATCTTGCTTATATAAAAAAAAAAACAACAGAATCAGCTGACTTGGTTTCACAGCAGTCTGGTGCTAAAGAAAAAGTCGGCAGTGACCTACTTATGACAACAATACAGTTCATCGCTATCTGAGATTAGCTAGTCACGAATACACAAGGATAAACAAACACGTCGGTAGTATTCAACTCACGACCCAACAAAACGTACATAATTAAAATAACAAAGAGTATATTGCATATTAAACAAAAAAAATATCCGAAGGCCTACTCTGTTACTCCGGAAACTAATACGACTCCAAAGAAGCCTATTTTCCGATAATTTATGTTACAGCAGAGGTACGACCTGACATTATTTCTAATTCACAGATTATATTTTATTACACAGATCAATTATAGACAAACAGAGTAGGTATTGCAACTACTTTAAAAAATAGGTTTAACAAGCTGTTTTTGGCTGAAATTCATATGCTAAAATGGATATTGAGTGACGAGAATGGACAAAGTAAAGAATGAGTACATTAGTATGATGTTTGAATATTACGCCAGTGGCAGAAAAATTGAAAAGCAACAGATTATCTTGGTATGGACGTGTGACTTGATATGATGAGAAGAGATGATCTGCATGTAACAAAAAAGATTATGAGCGTGAATATAGCCAGAAATGTAAGTAAAGTATTAAAAGGTACATGAAAGAATTTTTACTTTCACAAGTGCTTGTAACAGTCTAGACTGAATAAATGATTTTGATGTCTAAGAACAGAGTGAATGTTGAGATGACGACAGAACGAAAATGTCGACGAAATAGAAGACGAACACATTGTGACAAATTCAAATTAATAAAAACATCCCAAAGAAGATGGCTCTATCATCTCCATACAAGGAAAACTAACCATCTAAGACTATGTGTTAATTGTTAATTTTTCTTCTATAGCGACGATATGATACTTTAACAATAGTTAAATAAGTTGAACATGATAAAACTATTATTCTAATGTCATATCTAAACAACAAATCTCGATACCAATTAACCAGGAAACGATGTTGTTTCACTTCCCGCCATTTCGCTCGTTAAAAGTCATCTACCCCCCAGTTATTTAGATTAGTACGCACATGTAAATTTAATTTGTATATGGAAACTTAAACAAAGCGAGAACAATCACAAAGGTTCCAAACACAAATTAGATTTCGAATTCAAATATTCACTGATTAGATCCGAACACAGACGAGTCACGTCGCGCCAATTAGAAAACGGTTCCGAATTAATTTGAAAATGGAACACTCGATTTTGATGTAGTGGAATCTGTCATGTGCCCTTTGTTTAAGTTTGCAAACGACTCCCGACCTTATATATATTTGAGGCAAAGATCAAAACGACATTTTGTTAAACTGTCAATTGAGATAATCGGTGAAATACTGAATGTCATTCTCATCTGGGATTCAGGGTAAAATTTGGATTTACTGGCTAAGGATATAGAGTGCAGTATCCTTTTTTATAACGGTCTAGCAATAATTACTAACACGCATTCTGCTTATGCCTCTATTAGAAACGTGTTGTGTTTACAAAGTAGGACGCTATAATTTGACCTTTCTCCATATAAATTGCATAGCGACACTCCTTTCTGACGTCAAAGAAGAACAAACAAACACACTTTCCCATTTATAATATTACTATGTATGTATGATGAGTCTTGTAAACCATATAAATGTTTGTTTTTAGAATAACACAGCGATACTAAAGTATTTTATTAGGTAAAAAACTAACTTACTAAGGCCACTAAAACAATTAATAACCAAAATCTCGTTCATTTAAGTCTGGAGTTGTATCAGATGACACAAAAAGAACCTTGCTCTTTCCTTCCTTAGTAAAACAAATTTACCTGACGAAGACATTTTATCATATCACTCAAAACAATGTAAGGCCAGCTCAAGATAACCTCGATGATGACTTATAGATTTTAGATTTAAATCAAAGTTGACGGTTAGAACTTACAAGAACTTAGTAATATGCCTACATTGGATAATGTCTGATTTGGAATCACAAATCATTTAATTCATAGTAATCACTTTCAACAATTTTAATTTGAGATTCCAAATTAGATATCGCACGTTGAAATTATAGTGACACAATGCAAAAAATGCGATTTTGAGTAATGAGCGTTTAAAGTTCAAGAAATTGTAATCAGCCCCTCTAAACAACGTATCGTCACTACGTCACCTAGCGGTTTCTACGCAAGCTACGTTCACGGGGATCTTTGCATTTTAAAGTTTATACTTAACAAAGAAAAATGTTGCCAAAAGTAAAAAATACGTCGTTTTTGGTTAGTGAGATTGTCATTCTCAACGTGCGATATTATCCAATGTAAACATATTACCGAGTTCTTGTGAATTACAACCGTCAACTTTAGAGTTGAATCTGAAATTAGTTATCTTGTATTATCTTGAAAATTTAAATATACCGGTGGTCAGGCTCTTATGATTAGAGATGCGACGAATATTCGTTTGGTATTCGGTATTCGGCGTTTTCGCCATCATTTCACTATTCGTATTCGGCCGAATTAGTCGGTTTTGATGCCGAATATATTCGGTTCGAATATTTCTATTTACTTAGCTACACGACACTGTAGAGAAATAAAAGACAAAACTTTTTATAAAAATGTATGTTATAATATAAGTAAAAGAAATCCTATGAAGAGTGTGTTTAATGTATATAAAAATCCACTTGGTCCCTTGGTCCCATCTCAGGGTGCCAGGGACCAAGTGGATTTTGTAAGCATTTTTCATTAAGAATATTTTTCAGTATAGCATTTTGAATGCGTAATTGATAAAATATAATATGTATATACATATTTTAATGTTCATAATTAATTAATGGTAAATGCATAAACTCCAAGCTCTCGGCTCTCTCCGACAAGAATATTATTATGTTTTTAACCGACTTTAAATTCGAAAAGGAGATAGTTATATATTTTCCGCAAATTGTTGACCGATTCCCAAAATTCTTTGTTTTATTCGAAAGCTTGATTAAAATGAAATCAGTAATTTTGCATTTATAACAACACAAAATATACTTTTCATCAGATATTTTGATTTTATATTTATATCGACGAAAAAACGGGCATGTATATTTTTTATCTAAGTAAGCGAGTCCGTCGGTTTCGTCTTGAATTATGAACGAACTTTTATGAAACTAGTTATTCGGTTAAACCACAAACACCGCACCTCTACTTATAATGCACAGAAAATATTACATATTAAAGACTTTTTTGAGAGAGAAAAGGAAATACCAAAGTATTTGAAATATTAATATCTTGAATAATTTTTCTCTATTACATTATTTAAGCCCAAATACAATGTTCCTTAAATGAAACAACTTTTATGGATAGTGCGTCTGAAAATTTAAAAAATCGATATACAATTTTTGTTGAAGTGCAAAGAATATTTAACATTTAATATTAAACTAAAATCTTTTTGTTTTCAGATTGCGTTCACATCCAGCTGTACAAGGACCTGAAAGAACGCCAGAAGAACGGGCAGACAAAAGCCTCTCTGTCGCTACAACAGTTCCTGGGTTTCGAGTCTGGTTTCACATTGGACAAGGAGTCAAATACACTAGCCTTGCTCTGTGAGGACGTGGTACCAGTGCTGGCATTCGACACCAGGGAGATACTTATCCAGTGGAGAGTGAAGGTAAGATGTAATAATATCTCTTCATGTAAATATTGTCATTTTAAACTGACTTCCAGACTAAAGATCTTTTGACAGAATCTGCTTTAGATACTTAATTTGGGATCTGTACAATATGTGTGACATTTTATAATATTAATATATGTATTAATTAAGATATAATAGTGATCATTAATCCCATTTGTAATATACGAAAGCTATCTAGAGCCATTCCAATGTATTAAATAAAACTTATGCCGAAAGTTGACTAACTTTCTCAATCACAGAAGCTGCTCTATCAAGTTCCTCCTCCAAAATTGACAGTTCGATGTAGCCGTAAAGTTACTAGGTAGTATACCATACATGAGTATAACAATGCAATGTAAATAAATCATGTAGATATTTATTATTAACCTTTTAATAAATATATGATAAATAAATTCATATCCTCGATGTTAGACGGCAAACCTTCCTTTTGGATGACAATACAGTAGGGAGAACGGGTCATAACATAAACATTAAGTAAATTGTTCTCATAGAAACAATTAATCTCCGAGCATTAGTCACCAGTCCCAAAACAAATTACTAATAATCAGGGCTCTAATAATCACAAGGACTTACCCTTTGTATGGGTCTAATATATTCCGATCCCTTTCATTGTTGAATAGGACTTTTTGTTACTTTATGTTTAAGTTTAAATAGTTTTGGATTTATTTACAGAAATTTAATAGAAACCGTTATTCTTTTTCAATACTTTTGTGTATTACAAAAAACTATAAAAAGGCTTTAATGCATAGCATGACAAAAACACTATGATTTCCACACCATCTGATCGTCATTCTTATTTACCTGTTAATACCCCAACTAAAGGTTTTACAATTGTTCTCTATTTAAAATAGATGTAGAACGGGCCATCATAACCCTACCTTATCAAACCAATATCTTGAAATGCTATACAGAATCTCGGCAGCTTTATAATATTAATCCACTTATATTTGTCCGCAGGTGCAACACAACCTTGGCAGCAGCAAAGAATTCGCAGCTGTTTTAGTATCATCACCAAGTACCAACAGCATCAAACCTGGTCCAGTGCGGCTGCATGCGTGCGGATCTAGACTGGCTCTATGTGCTGGCCGTCCACCCGAGGTGCTAGCCCTATGGGATGTCAAACTACTCAGGTGAGTACAAAAACTTTATGATTGATATATAAACAATACTCTCCTCTCATAGTTCATTTGTGTGTGACAGAGTTGCTGTCACTTTTTGTGTAAGTGAAAATGTATTTATTATTTTTGGAGATATATAAGGCATGAAATATAATTGCATTGTATGATGATTTTCTCCGCTGTTTTCTTGTAATAAGGATTTTGTCCCATTATTGAGAACTCGATTATTGGCTATTTATAGCGCATTATGACCAAAAATATTTTTTTACAAGACATTTGTGTTTTCAATTTACATAAAATGAATTCTTACAAATATTGTTTATTCGTCATAGTTATAGTCGTAATATTAATGATATTAGCGTCTATAGTTCCAAACATTAATTAAAATACAATAATTTAAAAAGCTATTTTGTTTCTAAAACAAAAACATCCAAGAGTATCCTGATAAATTATTCATTTAATTCTAACAACACATTTAGTCAATTAATTATTAATGTCCTCTCCCTATCTCCGTTTGTTTCTCGTTGCTTCATCTTATGCGTGTGACGTTTATGTTTTCGGCATTATGTTTATGTTACTTCATGTTGTATAGCGACATCATCGTATTAATAAATTCCCTTCTTTGAAGTGAGAACCTCCAAGGAGAAACTGCATGGTACGGATTTAGTGGGTGAGGTTCAGGACACTGGGCCCAGCCTTAGGTGACTATACGGAGAGATATTAACGTCGCTCACCACAGCGGCCCCAAGCGTAATACATTTTTCTTGCTCAAAAAATGTATACATAGAATCGAATTACGGTCGCTCACGTGTGGTTATATGCACCTTTAGCCAACCTGTCTAATTTGAATGAAGAACCTTGCCCAGATATAATGTCGACGTTTGTGAATTACATTAACAGTGTTGTCCTTATTCTAAAACGTTTTGATACCATGCATTAAGCTGTTCAAGAATAAGAATTTCGCGATTGTCGAAACCCGACAACTCCCTCGCTAATCTTTTTTCACGGCGGCGTCTTGAGAAATTGCGTTAATATTTCATCGGGCGACGCATTCGTTTGCGTACCCGAACTCGCGTCGAGGATAAGTAAGGATTCCCTTAGAGTTTGACCTACTTGTCAAAGAGACGACTTAACTTTGACGTTCAAAGGACTGTTTTTAAATCCGGAAAGAGCAATTTCTTCATGCTCTCGTACAATTTAAATTGTTAATAGAAATTAAGACTGAGTCTTCACTTTATACAAGTATTTTTGCAATCCAAAACACAAATATAAATTTTATAATAGATTATTCGTCATTCATTGTGTAACTGAACTAATACTTAAGCAAACTAGGTATACCAACATATTTGCACGTAATACATCTACATCAGAATATAATAAGCTACAACACATACTCACTCCAAACGAACAGCTAAAGATGATATGTCAAACGAAACAATTTAGAACATACATATTGTATGTTCTGATTCACTGACATTTGTCGTGCAATTAACTTCTTAATAGAACCACTCCACCGGACTGTCTTTCTGTCCAAAGTTTTCAAATACCTCTCCACAATCGAATTATCTTTGCAAAGAAAGGCCGAAGTATTAAAGTCGTTAAAATATAGAAGAGCTGAAAAGAGGATGGGAGGAAACGCTGGCCTCTTTTGAATTGTTAGCCGTTCAGTTAAATGAGACTTGCGAAGTTTTCTAATAGCTTATTAAGCTTTGAGGGTTGGAGTTTTAGAAAGGTTTTTTACTGTCAGTTGTTTTAGAAATACAATTCTTGCTGTTTAATATTTGAATTTTGGTGGACGGCCGTTCATTAGAATCTTAAAAAGTCTGCTCAATATATAATTCATGTCCTTTTGAAATCATTTTGTTATTCGTATTCGTATAAAAAGCAGTAAAAAAGTTGCCTTCCTGTTTTTGCCTGTTCTTCTCAATACCAAGTTACCCGTCTTAAAATACGAACACATACATATATGGCATAACTTTTCTACTTTCACATAACCTAGACTGAGTAAACTGCAATTAAATCTTAATTGCTATAGCAGATAATTGTATTCAGTTTTATAAGAAATAAATCTACGCTGTGTTTACGTATTTATTCATATAATTATTTAAAAAGATCAATTTATATAATCATTAATAAAAAAGAATTTACTCTGTTTTCCTTTATTTTATTCGATTGCTAAATTCTTTGTTTACAATTTTTCAATATCAACATGTTATTTGTTCAGTTATATGTAACAACTTTATAATATATATTCATATCTAATTTATTGACTAATTGCCTATCCTTTTCTGAAATACTTCGTAAAATTATTTTTAATCAATAGTGCATTCTCAATGCTATATTAATATTCAACTTATACAACTATATTTAAAAAAAAATCAGTGCCCGAAATGGAATTTGATGTTGGTTCAAATTCCATTTCGGGCACACCTTTTAGTAAGAGCAGTCGTCTAAAAGGTAATCTATTTGTCTCTATTTACTTTTATTATAATAACATTACTTACATAAAGTATTGTGATCATATATCAGAATGAAACGCGTCAACGGAAGCAATAGAAAGAAATTTTAAAATTCTTTACATACAAACATATGAATTCTAATTTCACCTGTCACGAATTTGCAGTGTAAAGAAAATCCGTTCCGTCCGCTTGTTTCGGCTCTAATAGTAACGCAATCGTCAATATTACATATAATTTTCACTTACGCGATATTCACATACAAGCGAAGGTATAGAAAACTTCATCTTTCGCATGTTACAAGTAATTATTACGAGTAACTAACAAAGAATTGTTCTGTAGCGATATTTTCAGAGGAATAACAAATATTGGCCGCTTTTAGCTAGTAATAAATTGCTCAATATGTGAATCGTAACACAAACAACCAATATAAGACATTTCATCGTCTCGCCTAATAGCCGATCTTCCCTTAATTGTCCCGTAGTGGGATGCTTTCAGCTTGATTAAGGACCACTAGATTCCTGGTAACCACAAATTAACGCATACCTCTAACTGTTAGCTAATGTAAGTTCCAAATATATCAACACCTTAAATACTAATCTATGTTTTATGCTGCCGTAACTTAATATACAATTATTTAATTGTTGCACGTTAAGCCCTTAGTCCTGGCTATGTCTGTAGTTTTTAACGACTATCATTCCGCACTAAGCCCGCGCAGCTGGGTATAGCCTGTTCTTTTATTTCTTCCATGGAGAAGAACATCAATATTTATTTTGCTTTAGAATTACCTGTAGCATTATTTATAGAACATGGTTGGTAATATAAATAAAAGTTACTATAAGCAATAACTATAAGCTTCTCAATATGAAAAAAAATAGATGAACGATGAAAGCATTCCACATTTATACTAATATTATAAAGTTCCTTAGTTTGTTTGAAGGGGTAATCTTCGGAAATACTAATCCGATCATGAAAATTCTTTCATCTACGTTAAACTGCATATGTGTCATATGTGGATAACATGGACAATAATTTACGCTGGCGAAGTCGCGGGAAAACAGCTCGTATAATATAAAAACAATATGTTAATAAACAAAACAACTTTTAAATGGTTTCATCCCGCTTGTATTTACTTTAAGTGACGTTTCTGATAATTTGCGGGTTCCGTGTTCACATAAGACTAAAGTGTTGATTGTTTATTTAAATAAAGATTATAACTACCTTTAAAACAATACTTTTGGACACGTTCACAATTTTTCATTTTATTTTATGGCGACATTTATTAAATTAAAATATTTTAAAAGTACATTTGACTTATTTATTTACCCCTGGCTACCGTAATCATAAGTTACAGGAATACAAAGTTTGGTGGAGGATCGGAACTGTATTACACGGGCGAGGCATATTTTGCCTTCAGGTGGGAATCGTAACATACATGTCCTTCAAATAATTTACTTAAATATCAGCTACGTAACTCTTCAGTGAACTTATTTTTACTATTGAATTCATCCCATTAGAGAATAAGATTTGCTAGCACAATTTCGTTTTAAAAGAAGCGGGAGACATAAAAACTCCGTCTTGGGAATCTCCCAATTAGTCCTAAAGGATCCTCCCGTTACCCGACAGGGTTTTTGAAAAATTACTAAGATAATTCAAATAAATTCAAGACAGCCGGGAGCTTCGTTCTCGCTAGCGAAAAAATTCAGTGGTGACACAACATGGCATGATTTGCTAAATTGGCTGGTGACAATTGAGATAGAACCTTCAAATTAATGCAACTACTAAAGTTGTAGGTAATCCAACCGAAGATCAGCCTTGGTAAAACTTCTCAGTAAAATCCTTCCTTGGTAAAATATTGTAAATTTAAACATTTTGGGTACCAAATCGCAGTCATATTACTTGAGCACATCTTGCCTTGATTAAAATTTAACCTTAAACCTAGTTATGTTAGTGATTTTTTTATTTTTAGTTGCAATTATTGTAGCAAATAGCAAAGATTTTTATAAAAAAAAATAACTGAGACGTGAACAAACTAGCAAATCATTAACCATAATGATCTAACATGGCAAGAGCAGGGATTAATAACTAATGTGTGCGGCCGACGTCAGATATTTGTCGCACAAATAAAGACGAAATAGATTGCTATCGGATTAAACCCCGAGGGTGAACGGGACAGAGCAACTGTGTATCTCACACATAATACTTTTATTAAGAGAAAATTGGAGTTTTATTGTTGTTTCGTATCGTTCCAACAAGTCCTCGGTCCTCTTATTCAATATGAAGCTTTACTATTATGAAATCAAGGTTTCCATTTGACCAGAACTCGGGAGAACTTTAGTTCGAAGGTAACCAATCGACATGTCGAAAGCAATAGTGTACAATAGTTATTGAATTTTCCGCGGCTGCGTTCGTTGTAACGTTTTATTAGGCACGAATCTACACGTCATTCTGGCGTAATATTACGTACAGGTTTTATTATTCTTTGCCCCGTCCTATTTTAAGCTGGGTACTCATATAGCTCAAACGCGCGACTAACATTCAAATTCACAGTCGTCA